TAAATGGCTTCAATCTCATAATGTCATTTACCAATAAACCATTTTCTTTAGTTGGTGAGTCAACATTGGCGAGCCTCCCATGTGGCTTGAACAAAAATGAATATAGATCATTTGGTTCAGCTGCGTGACAAATCCCTCTTAGCCCTATCCAAACACTTAATGTACATTGCCTGTATTATGGACACATCTTAGTATTCAGTGATTTTGCTAATGCTCTAAAAGCACAGTTGCTGACTTGTTTAGCAAAATTTACTGTGAACAAAGACAGTGGAGCCGCTAAGATTTACACAGGTCAAAAGAGTTGACCTTGATTTTTGTCACTGTAATGTTATCCAGGTCTGATTCACTGAGGCAGCGGTCTAAATAAAGATGCCCAGACCGACCTTTTCGCCTCCAGCTCATCTAGGGGGGGATGCTGAATCATTCTCAGGCAAACCAACTGACATAATTGTCTCTAGTATATCCTGGGTCTGCCCTGGGGTCTCCTTTTAGTTAGATATGCCTCAAGGAGGCCTTCTAGTCAGATATGTGAATAACCTCAAATGAGTCCTTTTGATGCAAAAAAGCAGCAGGTCTACTCTAAACCCCTCTTGAGTTGCTGACCTCCTCACCCCGTCTCTGTAATTCTAGATCTCGTTTGGAGGAAGGTCATTTCCACCACTTATGTCATTGATCTTAGTCTTTTAGAGACTACTTTCAATTCATGGCAATAGGTGAGAGTGAATCGACTAGTAAATGTACTTGCAGTGGTCCTAAAGTACCCCCAAAAGGATTCCCCAAGGATCAGTCAAAAGCCTTCTGCAAGTCTAACAACCACTTGTGGACTTGTTGGGAAAAACTCCCACACGCCTTTGAATTTTTATGAGAGTGTAAAGAATAGATGTTCAACAAAGCCCACGATGTTCTTCCCAAATTAAACTTTTGACTTGTGGGCAAACTTTCCAGCACCCTGTACTGATCTGTACTCGATGGACATGTGCTATGTCTCTAGGAATAACAGTTATGTTCTTTGTTTGTAGAGGGAGATGGTGTACGCACCCCAGGACTCTCCACCCAACCGCCGCCTGAGCAACCCACCGATGTCTTCCCAGCATTCATCTTCCTCTGCTTCCCCTCCCCAAGGCTCGCCGTCCCGTGCTCGTCTACTTTACAGTGGCGGAAGGCCTTCTTCCTATGCCGGGCCACACCACCACACCCACTCCCTGCCTCACCCTCACTCCCAGTCCCACCACTCCTCTCCCCACCAGCAGCCCCAGCTCCACCAGCCCCACCAGCCCCACCACCCCCAGCCGGCCTTCTGCGCCTCCTCCAGTGCCATACTTGAGCGCAGGGACGTGAAGCCCGACGATGAGATGGGGGGATCCAGAAGCATGGTGCTGCTGAGGGGGGATGATCGCGGTGGGGGCGGGATTTACGCAGACCCCTACACTCTGGGTCCAGATCCGAGTCGGCTCAGCCTCGCAGGGGGTCCTCACTCTCCTTTGCCAGCAAGAGCCGACCCGTACGGCTCCTTGTACCGCCGTGGTGGAGGTGGGGGTGGTGGAGGTGCTGCATCAGTGCGTTCACTCACCTCCTATTCAGCAGCTGCACTACAAGGAGAGCTGATGGAAAACAGCGCTCTCTACAGGCCCGGAGGACCTCTTTATAACGATGCCTATGCTGCGTCTCTGTTGGCCATGGGGTTGCGGGTGCCTCCACCCTCCTCCCC